TCCTGAGTGTATACTGAGGAGAAAAAAGTGTTCAGTACTTCGGCCCTCTCCTTGTCGTTTGTGACCAACTTCACATGTTTGTCCTTTATTGGGCCTATCTGCTCCTTTCTCCCTATTTTTAATGTTTATATATTGGTAAAAATTTTTTTTTTTTTTTTACAATATGTGGCGATATGCTTTTCGCATTCTATTTTAGCCGCCCGTATTGCTAGTTTGCATCTTTTATTACATTCTTTGTAGTTAACGAACGACAATGCCGTCGCCTCCATCTTATAATTTATAAATGCCACTCGCTTTTCCCTTATGTGATGCTTTACAGTTTTATTAAGCCATACAGGTTTTGTTTGTGATCTTTTACTTTTATTACCCATCGGTATGCATTTGGCAATGGCAATATGTAAGGTGTTTTTAAAACATTCCCACTTTTGGTCCGAGTTCAGTTGGTGAAATACATTTTCCCATTTGATGTCCCCCACTAGGTGGCGCAGTCTATCAAAGTTGGCCCTTCTGAAATTAAGGGTTCTTGTCCTACCAGCCTGTTTCCCTTTCCTGTATCCAATATATAAAGTAGTCACATTGTGATCACTATTTTCCAGTGTCTCCCCAATTACAATATCCTCAATTAACTCCGCTTTATTAGTAATGATTAAATCTAGGATGGCATTTTTCCTAGTTGGGACCTCCACCATTTGGTCCATGAAATTGTCTCGCAACATGTTCAGAAATCGGCCCGCCTTTGTTGAACTTGAGGTTCCATTGGCCCAATTTATGTCCGGGTAATTGAAGTCCCCCATCACGACTACATTGCCCGCCCTCCCTCCCAGCTATTTCTATTTCAGACTGTAGATGAGCCTCCCCCTCCTCCCCTATACTTGGTGGTTTATAACAAATACCCACAATTAGTTTGCGACGATCGTCCGTCATCTCCAGTTCCAGCCATAAGGATTCCACATCCTCCCCATTCCATTTTTCCCCCCAGGAATGCTGCACCTTCCCCATTAAGATGCAGCCCGTCTCGCCCGAAGATCCGGTAGCCGACTGCAAAGTCAGCCCAGTTCTCCAGGAAACCAAATCCCTCCTTCTGACACCAGCTCCGGAGCCACTTGTTAAGCTCCCTCAACTCGCGCTGTCTGTCCGGAGTGGCTCTTGGCACCGGCAGTATCTCTGAGAAAACTACCGTGGAGGTCCTCTCCTTCATCCTAGCACCTAGGTCTCTGAAGCAGTACTGTGTATAAGAGACAAGTCAGTTACAGTTTCGCCCTGAAACGTCAATGAGAATGGGTGCAAATAACTTCTCTAACCTTGTCTTCTCTTTCTCTATACTCTCAACATTTCTTTCTTTCTTTGGTTCCCTGTTGATGGAGTTCTCCGTTTTAGGTTTGGGTTTTTACCTCTTTTGACCTTTCTGTTAATAGCCCTAAATATTGATCTGTGGGTTTTCTAATTGTTTCGCGGTCATGTTGAACGGAACAGATTATTTTTATCCTGACCTACGAGAACAACTGTTTACTATCTTCTATGACATCTGTGGTCTGAGAATTTGATGACTTAAAGTGACATTAAACCCTCAGATTTTTTAACATAAAACAATACTGTAATGTGTGCCTTACTGTAATCCATGGTTGTTCCCCTTCTCTTCTGCTCTTCCTTTTAAATCCTCATGTCTTCTCATGCTTTGGGAGAACTTCCCTTTGCAGCTGAGTGCCTCTTCCTGTAGTGCTGGCTCAGGTTGCAAACTTACACACAGACACCGTGTATCCATTTCAGAGACAAGGCAGTCTGCTGCAAAACAGAAGTTCTGTCCAGCATGAGAAGAGATACAGATTTAAAAAGGAAGAGCAGCAAAGAGCAGGGAAACAACCATGGATTACAGTAAGGTACACATTACTGTATTGTTTTATGTTTAAAAAAATCTGAGAGTTTAATGTCACTTTAACTTTTCTCAATCCAATGTACTCTTCTTCGAAATGTTTAAAAAGAAGTGAAAATTGGTGAAATATTGTATACAAATACATCCCACAGGGATGTAGGAATAGTAACTGGGCCCAGAGATGGCCAGGTGTCATCGTTCAACCATTATTTTCTATAGTCATCATTACTTATGCATTTAGTCCTATCACAGAAACCCACATTGCCCCACCTCTGCTCTGCAACTGTTATTTAGTGTAGTTTAGCTTACTGACTGCCCTTTGAAGGGAAGTAGAGGAGCCTAGCAAAGCAAGGAGTTGTAGGTGAGGCAATAAAACACAGAAAGGGGAGGCAGAAATTGTCCAGCATCTAAGGGAAGGGCCAAGGGGGGTATGGCACCACCCGCAATACAGAGGCTTTGCTACAACCGCAGATAGTTATAGACATGACTGTACAGAAATGTGTTTAGTTCTAATTTCTGTAATATTTTATCTTTACTTACTCCCCTGCCAGTTCAGGTCACGGGGGCTCTATGTTCAGTAGGCTACTCAAGACTCATATAACTTGCAAACATGTTCTGCCCAATTGAAAAATGTTTTGGGGGCTTGGGGGGGAGTGTTGGCAGTATGTGTGAGGTGAGGTATGTTGTCAGAGTAAAGATCTAAGCGGGAGTTCAGAGATGTTCTGGGGAAAGGCATGTATCGTCATTGAGGAGTGGGAATTGTGAAGTGCGGCAGCCAGGAAAATGCAGTAAAAGGATACGAGGAGAGCGGAGAGATTTTTGGAAGAAGGGATGACATGATGTAAAGCAGCAGACACAGCTTGAAGGAGGTGAGGATTATGGTGGAGCATCTAGGAAAATCAAATTTAAAGAACAGAGGAGTTTAGAGATAGGTCATGGAGTGGTCACAGGTTGTGGGAATGGAGTTGTGTATTGCAGCAGCAAGGAGACTAGAGTAAAAGGTTCTGAGGAGTAGCTCAGAGATGTTCCTGGGGAAGAGACAACATGTTAAGGAGGTGTTGAAAGTGAGCTGCGTATTGCAGCAGCCAAGAGAGTAGAGTAAAAGGATATGAGGAGAGTTGAGAGAAGGGATGACATTTTGTGGAGAAGTGGACACAGAATGAGGGAGATGAGAAGAATAGTGGAGCATAACATTTAAAGAACTGAGGAGTTGGGAGATGTGCTAGGTAGAGGGATAAGTCATGGAAGGACAGGTTGTTGATAGTGAGTTGCGTATTGCAGCAACCAGGAGCGTGGAGCACAAAGTTCTGTGGAGTACTTGAGAGATGTTCCTGGGGAAGACAAGTTATGGAGGACGCAGGTTGTTGGAAGTGAGTTGCATATTTCCGCAGCCAGGAGGGTGGAGTAAAACAATATAAGGAGGGTTGAGAAAAGGGATGACATGCTGTGGAGACATGGACACAGCTTGAGGTGCGGTGAGAAGTATAGTGGAGCTTAACATTTACAGGATTATTCACCTACAGGGTGAAGAGTTTGGAGAAGGCAGGAGAAGTGACCAATCTAGGTCAACATAGCTGAACTGGAAAGTGAGCTGAATTGGAGAATTTTTCCAAATCAGCTATGTTGTCCTAGATTGTTCACTTCTCCTGCCTTCTCCAAACTCTTCACCCTTTTGTGAATAACCCTGTTCGAGAATAGGGGAGGAGTTGGGAAATGTTCTGGAGAGAGGGATGTCATGGAAGGACCAGTTGTTGTAAGAGAGTTGTGTATGGCAACAGCCACGAGTGGACTAAAGTTCTGAGGAGAGTTGAGAGAAAGGATGACATGTTGTGGAGAAGTGGTCTCAGCTTGAGGGAGATGAGAAGTTTATTGGAGCATAACATTTAAAGAACCGAGGGGTAGTTAGGATTTGTTCTAGGAAGAGGGACGAGAAGTCACAAACAGGTTGTTGGAAGTGAGTTGTGTAACAAAGCAGCCAGAAGAGTGGAGGGAAACAATCGGAGGAGGAGCTGAGAGAAATTCTGAGGAGAGGGATGATGGGCTGTTAAAAGGTACAGTATGTTCCGGAGTGCAGTCAATGGGAAAGAGAGCCCAAAAGGAGGGCAGTGTCTGCAGGGTGACCAATGAATGTTCTTGTGAGAGGAGACAGATAAAACTCTAACCTGAAGGCAGAATTAGACAAAAGCATAAGTGGCATGCCGACTTTAATACTAAATAAAAGGTGTGTTGTTCTTACAGCAGTTTTAACATGGGACTTGTCCAACAAGCTTTTGGAGGAACTTTATTTCTAGTGCTTGGGCTCCATTCTCATTGTCTCTTTACCTAGATACGTACTGTGATTTGCCTAGTAAATTAAACAAAATTGATTTTTTTAAATGCTGCTGAAAACCAAAAGAGATTTGTAAATTGTTTATAAAAATATAAAAATTACTTCAATTACTGAAAATAAAACATTGCAAGAAAATCATTGTTAACCCATTAAAACCACAACAAATTTTAGTGCGCTCTATCTTCATCGTGACTTCTTTCCAGAACTCCCTTTACTGATATGAAGCTTCTTCAGCTCCAGCCAGGATTGCCACAGTAATAGGCCAGGGATCAGCACCCATAAACCATTGAAGAACACCAAGTAGACCCACAGATAGAGCCAGTTGGAGGTGTTAAGGTTGGGGCTGCCAACGAGCCAGTCTGGGCAAAACGTCATCCATCCTCCATACAATTCACATACACACAGTGTGATCTGTAGAAAGTGCCTGAAACACAGAAGGAATAGAAGAAATCAAAAGACATAGAAAACAATCAGTTTACAGAAGTCTATACAGTGCATTGTTATTCACAAAAACAGTTTCCAAATAATTTTTTTCATACGGCTGAATTTAATAAGCTTAAAAGGAGAACTATGGGGTAAGTGTTTTTCCCCTATAGTTCTCCTAAGGGTCGTGGAAGGACATAAACTAGCGTCCTCCCGTGACCCAAAGCTCAGTATATTGGGAGCTAGAGCTCGCGGTATACTGAAACCGCCGCAGCCGGGGCGGATCCAGACATTACTGTCGCGATCCACCCAGCTGCGCGAGTGACAGCGGGCTCTGCCTATCTCTAGATAGAGCCAGCTCTGCCCGCCCCTTTCCGTTCCGCCAGTTAGTGCTGGAGGATCGGAGAGGGGAATCCCTGCACGGAGCCGTGAGTGACCGTCACCGCTCTCTGCAGGGAGATGATCGAGAAGTGAGCAAGCAGCGTTAACTGTTCGCTCACTTCCCGATCTATTGAGCCGACGTGTGACAGTTTCATTCGCACAAGTCGGCTCGAACTATGAGAATGAGTGATTTTCACTCACCTCATAGTCCTCCTTTTAATGTCGTTAAACATATTAATGTATAATGTGTTCAAGTAAAATCACTTTCATTTCCACATTGTATGTCAATTATTTCTAGCCTACTCTTCTTAATCTGAAAGAACTTGGAGTCTGAAAACTTACTTTATGAAGAATCACACACAGGAATGCAGTGACACATACTCACTATGCACTGTGAATATGCACCGATGTGTCACCCACTTCACAGAGCCTGCTGTCTGAACTACAGAGATGCTGAAGAAGAGGGGTTTCAGGAGGCACTCCCAGTACAGGAAACACACCACGTGTGACATCACTGCTTGCAGGCAGCAAGGTACCATGGGATATGTAATGGTGTAATGAGCAGTAAAGTCACAAAGCGTGAAGGGAATCCAGGAAGTTGTTGAATAAGATGTCCAGCAGATATGCAGCACTCACAACACGAAAGGAGATTTTTTTCAATTGAGCTTATATTGTATTGTCAAAAATAAATATTGTTTGTATTGCGATTACAGTGCTGATATTATTATTATTATTATTATATACGGGATTTATATAGCGCCAGAAACAGGAACCATACCGCACTCATTACCGGGATTCCCACTTGATGAAGACGGGTGCTCGAAATGACTGCGGATGGCACCGCCACACGTGAACAATAGAAAAATGTCACCAGCACACCAGAAGTTGAAAAAGCAAAATATTTTTATTGCCAATAGCTGTATCTCATTGGCAAACTCTTTTGGGGCCTCGCAGGGGCTCTAAGCCTGATGAAGGGGACCCTGCGAGGCCCCGAAAGCGCTTGCCAATGAGATACAGCTATTGGCAATAAAATATTTTGCTTTTTCAACTTCTGGTGTGCTGGTGACATTTTTCTATTATTATATACAGTTTGCACAGAACTTTACAATATAAGAAAGACATTACAATCACAATACAATTCAAGACAAGATGGTAAGGAGGGCCGAAAAATAAAACAAAAGCATATGCCATGACTTCTCCTTTAATAACTTAATATGTGTATTTACTGAGAATACAAAATATTATTTTATTAAATACCAGCAGGTGGATTGTCCTGTAACTAATTATCTCACAGCAGTCATTAAAGTCATTAAAGTGCACCTGTCACTATTACAATATGAAACCTTGATAACCTTTTAAGACAAGACAAGGCACCCCTAGGTTTTCTAGTTGTGAGCACTTCATATAATTCAGATGTCTGAGAATCTGCACAGGGTATAGCAGAGTGGGAAACTGGATGGGAAGAAGGCACAGTTGGCGGTTTTAATATTCTGACTTTTGCATACAGTCTTGCGTTTGGGGGATTAGAGTGGAGCCTGGTCGTATTTATTTGGCTGGTTAGCTCCATATGCAGGCAGGACACTGACCAGTTTACTTTAAGAATTAATGTTGATGACTGTTTGACATACAGATACGTTGTCCCTCCAGTGGTCACAAACAATTCATAAAATAGGACTGTGAACATATCATGTCAGAAATGATTCTTACATAAATGCCATATAACAGCCGCTGTATACTGAGGTGTGTCACAGAAACTGTCCCGGATGCTCAACAGTGTCACGTTGGCAGCGATAATGAATGGTACGGACATTTCAGCCAGGCAACTAGGAGGAGGTCAGCGATAACAGCCACCGTGTTTTATTTTCTACAGCTTTCCTGTAACCCATTGGTTCTCAACTGGTGGGTCGTGACCCAAAAGTGGGTCGCGACCCTGTGTTCAGTGGGTCACCGCATCCCTTCCACTTTTCTAGGTGAGAGGCTACTCAGCCTCCCCTAGCGCAGCACTGTCAGTTCTCATGCCAAGCAGCCATTCAAAATATGCTGCCCGGCGCCAAGTGTCAGCTTGAGGTGGGGTGGGATGGGGCTATAGTGAGAGAGCTCCATCCAGACATACACCGCCCTGTAGAGTTGCCTGGACCAGAGTGACATCACATTCTGTTTCGCGGCACCTCTACAGGGCACACGAGGGAGCTGTACAAGCAATGCACATATGGATGGAGCTCCGTCACAACACAGCTTCCCACACTGGACCCCACGCTGAGGATCCACTCCAGTTCTTAGGGAGAACTGGGTGGATCTTAAAAAAAAGAACAAAAATGATTGTATGATGTGTATGTTTGGCTGAGAATGTCTGTGATTGTGTGAGATTGTGTGTGTCTGTCAGTGTTTTTAAGGGCGATTAACGCACCTTACCACGCAATCACACCTGCCGAGCATTTTGCTGTGGGAGGTGTGTTGCATTGCTATCCCACAGTGCGATCACCTGCACCGGAATGCAAAATACCGCAATGCCATGCGTTCCAGTGTGGGGTGACTTGGGTCACAACTTAATGACCAAGGACATATGTGGGTCCTGAGGTTACACAGGTTGAGAACCACTGCTTTAACCTATTCATGATGCTGTCAAAATGATGATAGTACGTCTCCAATCATGAAGGGGTTAATAAACTGGACCAACAATGTCACAAATAAACGCCTGTCCTGACCCTTCGGGATTGACCCACATTTTTTGGTCTGGATTGATTTAAAAATGTTCCACTTTCGGTTCGGAACGAACCACATTTTTGGTTTGTTCGGTTTAGATTGATCCGAATTTTCCGGGTCGGATCAATTCAGATGGGGTTCTTCAATTCATTCATTAATTTTTGGGGGGAGTTTTTATGGTCATTTTAATTCTGTATTATTCCTCATAGTCTGTACTGGTCATTAGAATTGGATATTTGGAAATCGAAACGAAATTCAGAAAAAAAAATGAATAGATTTGTTCGAATTCGGAAGCATCTGAAAGTTTGGATACATTCACGTTCGGAAACTCGAATGTATCTAAAATTCGGATAAATTTACATTTGGATATATCCAAATGTACGAATGTTAAGAAATTAGTCTCAATTTCAATTTGAAACAAAACACCACTTACATGTCTACCAGCTAGCAAGTTCGGCTCGGTGCACTGGGGCAATGGCTTAGTAAAATGTTCCTCCGGGACCTTTTCGGCACCTTGAAGCCTGATCTGTGATTCGTGTTGACATTTTGGTTAAGTTTTGATTTGTAACCAGCTGCCCTGATCATTACACCTTTTTGCTGAGACGTGTTTAGGACCCCCCCAAATCCATCTGGTTATCTGCTGTACATCATCTGCCAGCACAGGGAGGACTCCGGGGCTGTGACTGGGAAGAGTAACATGTACTGAGCAGCACTCACCTGTAATACTTATCCTTCACAATGGCGTAAATCAATGCTAGAGCCAACAAACCATCCACAACCACAGTGAGGATTTCCAGAGATACAACGGTGGGGTCAGAGTGCAGCCAGCGCTCATCTGCTTTCCCATATTCCTTCCCTGGAAGATAAGGAGAGAATGTTATCTGCTAGAAGAAACAAACTGCGACTAAGATAACAAAACACTCAAAAACACAGAGGCTGCCATTTCTGAACGCCAAAGGAAATCACTAGCTACCCGGCTGCCATGCTGGTCCAATGTCCTCAACGCCTTCTAAGCCACCGATCTAGAACAAGTATGGCAATGGAAAAATCAGATATCCTTATCTGCATACTTGCTCCAGGTCAGAGACTCCAAAAAGCATGGAAGCCACTGGATCAGCATGACAGCCATGCAGCGAGACTTTACAGAACGGGAGGTCAGCAATACAAAAGCACAGTACTTCCTCAGTAAAATGTATGCTCTAGAAAAATGTATCCCCAAATCCTGCAATACCAAGGTGCTCAAATCATGAATAAGGCCGTCCAATTCTAAAATCACAGCGCTGTGCTTTACAAACATGCTCTGAGCTCCGGCAGCTTCGCCAGGAGAGATTAACAGATTTAAATGAAAGTCTCGTATTAAAAAAATAAAAATCAAGGCGAGAGACTAGCCCGGTCATGTGACCAGTGAGAGGTTAAGCAGAGTGAACTTCGTGGCTGTACACTGTGGCCCCCAATTTTGTGGATGGGATGAGCCACAGTGTGCGTATGAACAGCAGATAGTGAGAGGTTATAAATGACCCCCCCACCCAGATTATTGGCTTTATAAGACTGGGCACAGCTATGACTTCTTTCCTAGAAAAGTCATAACGCACCAAACATTCCTTGAAAACCATACTCACACAGTGCAGCCAAAGGCCCCTCCGATGTGGCCACTGTTCCCACTAGAGACAAGTAAACGAAAGGTCCCTCCTGTGAAGCACAAACATGAGAATTGACATAGAGAATAACTGAGGTCATCAATCTTCTCTCCATTACACAGTAGTATTTAGTGGACGTGACCTTCACCTAGAATATGCACCAGGGGGTAGCCCCAGTGCACAGACCAGGGGGTAGCCCCAGTATAGAACTAGTTTAAACCAGGTATAAAGCCTGTATAGCCCGTTTAGTCCTGGTATGGACTATCAACCAACTAATCGATATTGAGAATAGTTGTCAACTATTCTCATAATCGATTATCAATTTAATCAATTAGTTGTTGCAGCCCTAGTATGGACCCAGTGTAGTCTCCCAATATACACCCTGTATAATCCCAGTACAGTCCCAATATTCACCCTGTATAATTCCAGTACAGTCCCAATATACACCCTGTATAATTCCAGTACAGTCCCAATATACACCCTGTATAATTCCAGTACAGTCCCAATATACACCCTGTATAATTCCACTACAGTCCCAATATTCACCCTGTATAATCCCAGTATAGTCCGACTCCCCGGCTATAAGGTGATCTCTGCCCAGTGATGGGCAGTGCACACACTGTATATACATTGTAGCAATGCACGGTGAGCAGAGTCCATCACCTACCAGTGTGAAGTGTACAATGGCATCATAGAAGAGCCAGACCAGCACCCATCTGTCAGTGGCATGGCACCTCTTCCCCAGGCGCTGTGCCAGTACATAGCCCAGGCCGAGCTGTGCCGCGCAGGCTGCCAGAGAGTACACGGTCACCGAGCTTAGCAACACCGGAGCGGCTTTCTCCGCCATGGTCACCGCTAGTGCCGGAATGAGGGGGCGGGGACGGTGTGCCGCACTGTACACGCCCCTAGTTCTCATCCAATGAGAAGTGACTGCACTCAGTATCTCCCCACAGATAGCCCGCCCACTACTCTGTAAAGCGGTCCCCTAGCCACGCCCACCTGCCAGCCAGCGGGGATAAGAAATCCAATGGTGAATGTGGAGAGAGGATGTCGCCTCTGCTAAGCTCCTCCCACAAATGCCGCATCACTGACTGTCATCCTTCTGGCTGCACCTGGAACAAGCATGCTGGAGGTCACACTTCACTTGCTGCATGCTTCTCCCGCTCTCTTCAGGATCTTTGGCCATCTTGATTGGCTGGACTTGATATAACTCCTGTGCATGTCCATGGAGGTCATTCATTCTGAAGTCGGGGGGAGTGTGCAGATAACTCGGTGTACATGATAAAGGAGATTGTGGCCAGCTTGTGTTATTACAGAGCACACACACACACACAGAGCGATCTCTTCTGAAAGTACAGAGCCCGCCCACAGGTCTTCATCTTTGTTATCATCCACTTTTCAGAATAACCACTCTCTGACCTCCTTTCATGTATGAGTGTTAAATGAAAAATGGTCCGTCCCCCAATCATGGGGTTCTTCTCCCAACAGGCTCCTGTTATTTCTTTAGAACATCATCCAATCACTGACCTATTCACAGGATTCGAGAATGGAGAGGCTACAAGTCCCGCCTGCCACCATGGTGGAGGGGCTCGTAAATGTACGTATGTACGTATGTGGTGGCATCACCACACTTCTAGTTGATTGATCAATGAAGACCATTGATACTTGTAGTCCATCGATACTGGTGGTTCATTGATACTTGTAGTCCATTGATACATGCAGTTCATTTGCAGTGTTGCACTGTCACTGCTGGAAGCTCTCCCGCCTGGTTTTTCTAAGTACAAGTTTCATTCCTAGAACTTAAAAAGACCAGAAATCCCCTTTAGTTAGTAAATTTGGGTCTTAGCCGTTTCTGTACCATACAGAGGCAAAGCTGACATTTTAACTAGAGGTGCATCAAAATGAAAATTTGAAAACCGAAACGAAACTGAAATTTAAAAAAATGTCGGGCCGAAACGGAAAATGTTTTTTATTTTAACTTTTTAATAATAAATATTTTGTTTATTTTTTATAAACTTTTTAATTTTTATATTTACTTATTCATTTTTATTGAATATTTTTATTTTTTACTTTACTTTTAGGGGCTTCGGGGAAATATTAGGGGGCTAAACAGACCTATGATATTTCCCTTTTAAAATAGAAAAAGAGATTGAGAACACAGAGCCCTCAATCTTTTTTTCTGCAGCCCCTGTTATCAATGAACAGGAATCCTCTATACTGAGTGTTCCTGTTCATTCATAACATGAGAACATGGTATGTTTACTATAACCACTTATAGTAATTTTCGGCCGATATGTTTCGGCGGCTGATATATTGGTGCATCCCTAATTTTAACCTGTTCCCATCAGTGTAAAGTACACTATATTGCACTATATTGCCAAAAGTATTGTCCCATCCATGTCTTTATGGACCTTGCTTTGTGCACTGGTGCGCTGTCATGTTGGAACAAGAAGGGGCCATCCCCAAACTGTTCCCACAAAGTTGGGAGCATTAAATTGTCCAAAATGTCTTGGTATGCTGATGCCTTAAGAGTTCCCTTCACTGGAACTAAGGGGCCAAGCCCAACCCCTGAAAAACAACCCCACACCATAATCCGCCCTCCACCAAACTTTACATTTGGCACAATGCAGTCAGGCAAGTACCGTTCTCCTGGCTACCACCAAACCCAGACACGTCCATCGGATTGCCAGACAGAGAAGAGTGATTCATCAATCCAGAGAACACGTCTCCACTTCTCTAGAGTTCAGTGGCGGCGTGCTTTAGGGCCTGTTCACATGATATCAGGTCCTGATAAGGTGCGGATCTGCAGACGCGGTGCTACTGATGCAGTGCGTTTTTGCCACACTGCATTCCAATTTAATTTTTTTTATTTTTTTTTGCTGGAGTGTTGCTGTCAGTTTCCTGACTGGACAAAATGTGACATGCAGTATTTTTTCTGTCGTAACCTGAACGGACTGCGCACGTGAGAACTGCAGCCCATAAAACACATAGGGATACATTGGGATGCATTTTTAGTGCAGGAGCGTACGGATCAGGTCAGCACAGAAAACGGACGTCATGTGAACAGGTCCTTACAGCACTGCATCCGACGCTTTGCATTGCACTTGGTGATGTAAGGCTTGGATGCAGCTGCTAGGCCATGGAAACCCATTCCATGAAGCTCTCTACACACTGTTGTGCCAAACTGAAGGCCACACGAAGTTTGGAGGTCTGTAGCTACTGACTCTGCAGATAGTTGGCGACTTCTGCGCACTGTGCACTTCATGCTCTGACCCTGCTCTGTCATTTTACATGGCCTACCACTTCGTGGCTGAGTTGCTGTTGTTCCCAGTTGCTTCCACTCTGTTATAATACCACTAACAGATGACCGTGGAATATTTAGTAGCAAGGACATTTCACGGAACACCTGAATCCAATGATTTGGAGGGCTGTCCCAATACTTTTGGCAATATAGTGTATATACAGGTGAAACTCGAATAATTAGAATATCGTGCAAAGTTCATTTATTTCACTAATGCAACTTAAAAGGTGAAACTAATATATGAGATAGACTCATTACATGCAAAGCAAGATAGTTCAAGCCGTGATTTGTCATAATTGTGATGATTATGGCTTACAGCTCATGAAAACCCCAAGAACCCCAAATCCACAACCTCAAAAAAGTAGATTATTACATGCAATCAATAAAACAAGGATTGTACATAGAACAATATCGGACCTCTGAAAAGTACAAGCATGCATATGTACTCAGTACTTGGTTTGGGCCCCTTTTGCAGCACTTACTGCGAATACTTTTGCACGATATTCTAATTATTCGAGTTTCACATGTATGTGTCAGCACAGTGGATGGAACGTAATGCCGTTCGTTCACAGAGATTGGCAGGGTGAATGGCGCTGTGAATTGTTTATAAATAGACCTCACAGAGTTGCAGAAAGTAGCGATTAATCGCAAACATTTTAGAAATTGTGTGATTATCTGCAGTTAATGGATTCTACATGGTACACTCGATAGTGATTATTGGGGGGGATTTTAGTGCAAGGATCACTAAGAAGCATTGTCCATGTATGCCTACAATATTATACTATACAAAGTGGAAAAACAAATGTTGGCGTTAGATACACTATCACCATTTTGAAAGGATAACTAATAATTCTGAGTATGTCCTGCACAGCAAGATGTTTGACCTGCCTTCAGTCTCTGCACATTGCATTGTGTCATTCCAAGGCCCTCGTATTACTGACATAAGTCCAAGGCCAATAAACTCAGCAAAGATAACATGAGAGACTTTGGCGCTGTGGGTTATAGGCGAGTGCAGGGACGGTGGGAATTGAAGAATGCAAACAATCAATGTATCGGTTTATGGCTGTTCAGTAGTGTTGTGCAAAAAGAACACTAAAAGTAGAATTAATAAATAAAAACAGGTGACAAAATCTATTCATCTCCAGCAAATGATCTCTCATAGGCATCCATAAGACCCCATTCACACTGAGCTACAGCAAAATAAAAGCTTTTTCTGCACGTTTGAGCTGAGCGACATTGAGCTACATCGAGCTTCTTTGAGCTACAGTGCACATTTGGACGCGCTATGTATCGCTTCTTTTGGCATTTTACCACAGGGACTTTGTAGCTGCTACATTGAGCAGTATCCGATCAAAAGTGGTCTTTGATGTGAAATAATTCCTCTTCCTGTTTCCTGCTTCTGTGGAGAGTGTAATTTTTGGGCAAAAGTAACACTTGTATAGCGCAACATTGCTCTACAATGTCACACAAAAACACCGGTAATGAGCGACATAGAGCTACACCATTGAAGTCTATTGGGGCCAAGAAGCAAGAAACCCGCCAAAAAAAAAGGTCATGTTCGAGGTCATGTTCGAGCGACAAGCTTCAGCTACAGGTGACATTGAAGTCTATTGGGGCCAAGAAGCAAGAAACCTGCCAAAAAATAGCTCATGTTCGAGCGACAAGCTTCAGCTACAGGTGACATTGAGCATCAAGATGTGAACATCTCCATTGAAATGCACTGGAAGAGCTACATTGCACTTCATTTTGAGCGGAAAACACGCTACAAAACGCTGGAAGAACGCTGGAAGAAAGTTTTAATTCACCCACCAATACTACATGTGGAAAGCTTTCTGCACCATTATAATGGTCCATGAAACTGACGCGAGTGGCATGCACCACCTTAGCAAAACAGACTTGTTTCAGGTTTACTTGCGCCACCCATGCCAGTTTTTTTTTTTTTATTAACAAAGGGATGACATCAGTTTTCAGTAAACTGACACAGATCCCTGCTAGACTAGACCTGGAGTACAGCATGTGAACTGTATGCTGGTAATCTGTCCAACAGCTCACATGACCAGCACACTACATGGGCAAAGCCAGCATATAGGCATGGAAAGCTCCGCCAAAGATAATAACAAGATAACAATGAATTACCCATTAACCTCTTGCCGTCCGCCCGTAGTAAAAAAACGGACGGACGGCACTGCAGCATCTGCGGGTTGCCGTCTCCAGACGGCAATTTTTTTCTGCTCGCGCGCGCCCCCTAGCGGGCACGCACGGGCAGAAAAGACCCGCTAAATGCACACACCCGTTACCGGGTGTTTCACATATAGGCGATCGGCGGGTCCATAGCCCGCCGATCGCCTATATGTGCTCGTTCGCGGCACCCCCCCCCCCGGGGTTGTTATCCCCCTATATAATAGCAATACCAATAAGTGCAAAAAAAATAAATATAAATAAAAAAAAATAAAAGTAACACATAAAAAAGTAAAATAAAATAAAAGTCACATATAAAAAAAGGGGAAAAACCCCCCCAAAAAGTTTAACTCCCCCACCCCCACGTTTACGCGCCTATAAACGTAA